CACCATGCAATCCCCCCAAAATCGCCCCTCCATCAGGCATACCTGTCCCGCGCCCTGCAGCACCTGGACGAGTTTGCAGCAGCACACCCCGAGCTGCCAGCAGCCGCACTGTCGCAGCGCCTAAAGGCGGCCCATGGCATCGACCTGGGGGTGAGCTGGGTGGGGGTGGGGCGCCTCGCTGTCAATGTATACTGGTGCATGCTTTTTTTGTCTCGCGCAGAGGCTGGAAGATTCAAGGTTCAGGATCCTGGCTGCTGTGGGTCTTGCCGGCTGCGGCGCCCGGCACCTGGGGCGGCCGCAAGGGAGCGACCGGCGCCCCGCGCCGCCGCCGCCCTGCCGCCGCGCGCAGGTGCTGCGGGCGCGCGCCGAGCTCGTGACGCGCGGGCTGCGGGAGTGCGAGGATGACGAGGGGTGGCGGCTGGTGCAGGACGACCCAAACGGCCTCAGACTGTTGTACAGGTGTGATTGGGCGCCGCGCTGGGCCGAGCTGGTTGGGGCTGGTTGGGCTGGCTTGGGCTGGGAGTCACCCAGTCCGAGCTTGAGGCAATGTGTGCGCGCCGGCAGCTGCGAATTTGAAGGAATGGCTTGGGGCCTGCCGGGCGGGGTGCGCAGTGGCCTTTGAGGGGGGGGGGTTGAGAAAGGCCCCCGCTGCGTTGCGCCCTTCCATGCATTTGTTTCAGCTTTTGGCCCCTTGCTGCTGCCGCCGCTGCTGCTGCAGGCAGGGTCCCCAGACCGCGACCACCCACTGCTTCAAGGCCGGCTGCGTCCTGGAGTGCGAGCTGCACGTGAGCGCCAACCAGCCGCACGCGGCCGCCGCGCTCTCCTGCCCTGTTCTCCGCGCGCGTGTCGAGATGAGTATTCTTGCATAATCACATGTCGAGCATCGGCGTCAGCACAAGCACTTTGGGACCTTTCCAGCCAAGCGGCCCGCACATGTTTGGGCGGCGCCATGATGCCGACAACCCGCAACCTCGAGCCCTGCTTGATTTTTGACTCCTCGCCTTCTCTCAAACCTTTTTATATCCCAGGAGCTGCTGTCAATGGCGCGCGAATTCGACCTGGTGCCCACCTGGAACTCCTACATCACACAGACGGACATCCTGCAGGCACGCCGAACAGCGCAACACAACACCTTGCCACCTCCCTCTTCCCTCCCGAGGCCTCGGCGCACCTCGCTCCGCGTGATGTGTTCAGCGCCCGCCCCCGCCCCTCCTCGCGCCAGGGCGCCCTTTGGGGCTGCTGAGCGGGGCAGGACGCCCCGCATCGTGGCCCGTCCGTGCCCCCTATCGCGCAGCGTGCTTGGGCCCGCTGGTCGCCTCTTTCTACACCGCCGTCTGCCCCACCGCCACCCCTGCCGCCCTTTCACTCGCCTTCGCGACCCCCATGTTGGCCAAGATGCGACCCCCCCTTTGACCCAAACTCACCATTGCCCCACCGCGGCCCTCACCCTTCTCCCCACTGCTCTCCCTAACACTCCTCCCCCCCACCCACACCCTGATTTTCCAGATCTCATCTCTGGTGGAGCTGCTGGTGTATGCTAGCGTCTGGCTGCCCTGGCCCTTTGCAGAGAGGGACGTCCTCATACAGGCGGTGAGCCCACAAACACATCCCACACCCGCCAGCGCGCCGCGCCGCCTGCAACCTCCTAGCCTGTGGGCGCCGCCCCGCCGCGCCGCGCCCCGCCTCGGTGCATCGGCGCGCGCCATGTATGCTGGCTGCTGCAGGCGGCGCGTGCTGGTCTTGTGGGCGTCAATGTGCGTGCGCGACGGCGTCAGGGCTTGGTCAAATGCCGGTCAAAATCCGGTCAAACCCCGGTCAAACCATGCTCGGTCCCAGGTCGGCATTGACGTGCTGGCTGAGGACGGCAGTCTGGCCATATCATTCTCATCACCAGAAGGCGGCTTGGTGAGTTGTGACCGCCTCAGGTCACATAGGAGGCAGGCGGTTAATTTGAGGGGGTGGGGGGTGGGAGCAGGGGGTGAAGGCAATGAGATCTGAGGGTAATAAGAGCGACCTGATGCTGCGGGAACAGGCATCGCCGCTGGCCTGTGGTCGTACGCGCGGTAGCCTGATTGGCTTGCCCGCTGCCGGGCGCCGCCCCAGGCCGTCTAGGCTCTTGCTGACCGCCGCCTGGTGCCCCCCTCCTCCTGCCTGCTGCCCTGCAGCCGTCCGACGTCGCAGCGCCGGCAGGCTACGCCGCCAGGACCCACGTGGAGGTGCGCCTCCCTTTTCATGCCTGCCCCCCTGATTTGTTGTGCGTGAACCTGTGTTGCATGAGGCTCTCAGCGCCTGTGATCCGCCCAGGCTGTGTTGTGTATCAAACGGCGATACGGCAGACCTGCCATGTCATGCTCGCGGCCATGCGCCGACCACGCAAACGTGTTGACGGATAAATCGCGGTCGTGCCCCTGCCCCCGCCCGCGCAGATTCTGCCCGGCAGCTGCATGCGGCTGGAGCCGCTGCCGCCCAAGGAGGCCGGCGGGCGGCCGCGCACCAAGGTGGTGGTGGTCACCATGCTTGATAGCGGCCAGTGGGTGCCCGAGGCCATCATCACATTCGTGCTCATGGTGGGTGCTGCTGGGGGTAGTAATACATAAATTCTGGTAGAGGCGGGCGGATGGCGATCAGGCATGCCATGCCCAAAGTGTGCGTGTGAGGATGTTGTTGGGGCTTACCGGGTAAGCGGGGCGCAGCACAGCAGCAGCTTACGTCCACGTCAAAGCGCCACGGCTGCGGGGACGCACGCATGCGCGTGCAACTACCTGCGACGGTCTGCGGGCCACACGCCCGGCCCCGCGCTTCTGTCACACAGTCCACGCCCTTGGCTGCTCTCAAACAACGCTTCCACCGCCGCCGCCGCAACGCGTCGCAGGTGTTTGCCCCCTTCTTCTTCAGCGCCGTGACCAAGGTGGTCAACACGAGCTTCCTGGACCCCTCCGCGCCCCTCATGCAGCGGATTGGGGAGCGGCCGGAGCTCTACGGGGAGATGCTGCAGCGGGTGGCGCACTTTCTGGAGGGGCACCCCGACGCGCCGTGACTGGATCGCGCCCAGCGGTGTGCGCGCGGCGCATTACGTGATGCGCGCGGTCTCCTCCAGATCGCACGAGCGACGCTGCAAATCGAGCGGGTGACGCTCCGCTGACTGCACTGGCGCTGCTCGAGATCTTGCACGCGCAAGGCGTGAGATTGCATGAGCTATGCTCCCGGTGGCACGAGGCTGCGGCCGCCCTGATCTTCATGCCACCTTGGTGTGGCTGCGACCCCCCCTCCTGGGCTGCGTCAGCAATCAGTTGGCCGCGGCGCCGTTTGGCTGGACACGGCGGCGGCATACCATGCTGCATGCCGCGCTCCGCACATGCGCGCCGCTTGCGAGGGTGCGCATGTGGCGTCTTGCCGGGAGTGCGGAGCGCGGCGTGGCAGCTTTGCTGGGGTGCACAGCGGCAGCCTCCTGTTCACTCCGCACTGCCGCCTGCGCACACACTACGCGTGCACGGTTGCTGGTGCAGTCTGCCATGCGATTTTTGCCTTGCAGTAGAAGCGCGACTGCTGCGCAATGTTCGGAACACCCCAAAACGTGCTTATCATATGCCAGACACGCAAGTGCATGCAGCACGTGCCATGACACGGCTTTCGCATGTGCCATGCTCAACCAACCAGCAGCAAGTGCTGATCGTCACCCGATGTAGAGGCATGGTGACTCTGTCGGTGGTAGGTGAGGCCAGTTTTGATCATCCACAGTTCCAACACTCCTTGTTTCGTCAAGCATTTGCAAGCCCCTGAGGGTGGTCCCAGTCCGGGCCCTTGCCCTTCACTGTCGTTGCTGCTGCAGCTGCTGCTGTGTAAATGTAGCCGATTCAGCACGAGACGTGGTGCCTGTTGGTGTGGCGCCCTGTGGCCTGGTGGTATGCAGCACTAAGCGACGGCTGCGCCATGCGGGACGTGCTCAGCGCTCCCTCCCACGCCCGTGCCCGCGGAGCACCCGGGGTCGCTGACGTTGGCGCTGTTGAGAAGGCGACACAGCACTGCCCAAGCGCAGCCGACGCCGCCAGCCAGGCGGTGGCGGCGGCGGGCCCGCCGCAGCGAGGACAAGTGGCTGGTTCAGGCACGTGAGTGCTTGGTCTTACACGCCTGCACTCATGCGTGGGCCTGGCCGCTGCTAAGTGTGCGAGGGGCACCAATTAGCGAGGGAGGAGAGAGGGCTGCGACGCGACCCGACTTCTCACAAGTTGGCTAGGCAGGAAAAGCGAAGGGTGCCTGCTTGATGAATGCACGCAGCATCGGCAGGTTCAAAAGCGTGCACACAAATACACGTACAGACCTGCCGGACGCAAACCTATACACACATACCGCCTGCAACAGGCACACCTAAGCGCGCGAGGCGTATCGCAGCCCCGCGCCCTTCACCACTGCAGCGACCCTGCTGGCCCCGGCTGCCCGCCATCCCTAGCGCGGCACCATGGCACCCTGGCGACGCCGGACGGCCCCGCAGCCGCTCCCGAGGCTGACCTCCGACGCCGCGCCGCACGCCTCTGCTGACCCGCAATTGCATGGCCCCCGGCTGGGTCGTGCCGCCGTCGCCCGCGGAGGCCGCAGGGTGCAGGACCCCACACAAACAACCACACGCAGGGGCACTGGCGCTCGATGGCCGGCTCCGCTGGGCAGCGGGGGAAGTTGGTGGGCGGGCCGGGGCGAATCACAGGGCGGCCAGGGCCGCGCGCAGCTCCTGGGCTGTGGTGAGCATGCGGCCGTAGATGGCGTTGTCGCTGCTGGCGGCCTCCTTGAGCCAGCGCGACATGCGGGCCATGATGACGCCGCGCAGGGCCCTGG